ATTATATATATATATATATATATATATATATATATATAGACACACACACACACACACAATAACTAAAAGGTGACACAACTTACGAAAAATCTTGCGTACGCCACGGAGTATGGGGCGAAGTGTTGGCTTATTAAGAAATCTTATGTTCATAAGAAGAATATCGTTGTGATGAGAATATTGAGGTAGATATTGTGGGCATACTAAGAGACAAGATTAAAAATGGAGATATCCTGGAAAAGGTAGGAGTGGCCTCCATGTTGAACAAGATGAGGGATGTGAGACTAAGATGATTTGGACATGTGAGGAGGAGTATAGACGCCTCACTCCTTATAAGAGGTGTGAGATGTTGGTAGTGGAGGACGTCATGAAAGGTAAAGTCGGGCCGAAGAAGTATTGGGAGGGAGTGATTAGATGAAGTGCATCTAGATCTTACTGAAAAAATGGCCTTTGATAAGAGAGTATAAAGGTCGCCTATTAAAGGTAAATTGTTAGTTGGAAATTGAGCATTCTCTTGCTTCTTGATTAGCAATTTTATTTAAAGTTTAGGGTCTTTTCAGAAGAAAGCTCTATCACAACAAGGTAAGGGCAACATTGCATACACTCTACTCTCTCAAACCCCACAAGTGGGATTGCACTAAGTGTGTTGTTGCTACTATTAAATAGGGCGGACCTAGAGTATTGGGTATAGGTTCTGTGGAATCCAGTCAATAAATATATAAAAACGAATTGTTGGGATCTACAAAGTAAGTTATTGGTCCAACGAGATAAATGGGAACTTGCTTAAGCTTTATTGCCCTCCTCATTGAAGGCTTAATTCCCCGTATCATTGGGAACAATGAATTTTAAATCCTAAATCCGCTCTCGTATGGACTTGTTTGTGACTATGAATTTAATTAGATCTAAGTATCATTATAGGTATGCACATTTTTTTTGTAAAGTATTTGTGTATTTTGAAGAGTACATACAACAATGACACACCCATTGCAATAAGTATGTAATGCGCAGGACCGATATAACATAGCATGTGAGGAACGAAAAGTTAGATGTCAGAATACTGAGTCCTAATCGGCCTTATTTACGATCTCAGTAACTCAATAAGTTATACTAATTGATTGATCATTATGGGGTTTTAATGCTCCTTTTGTTTCAAAAGATCTAGTTCAACATTTATAAGGCATTTGTCAAATCGGGTGTAACAACATGTGTTGTAGGACTTAATACCAAATAAGTCATTCTTCTTATCCGGCA